GCTGCTTTTTCTTTCGCAATCCTTACTATTGTCATTTTCCCTCTACTTCTTTTGTATGTTTGTCACTCTCTTGTGACATGCTGTTTCCAGAGTGCTTGATAGTTGAAAGTGGACTTTGTGCTGTTGAAGCTAGAGAGGTGAGCATAGTAAGTCCGATTCCCTGTAAAGACTTCTCTGTTGACACTCACCCCTTGGCGCTCATATGACCTTATGCAGTTGCGAGCGCCGTAAAATCCTCAACTGTAAAAAAAGAAAAGTGGAGGGAAAAACTTTGCTTTGACTTGTTGTAGTTGATGTGATTAAAGGTTCAAACCCTGCTTGAAGTGGGACTTTGGTTAACTACCATAATAATAACAATAATAATAGATAGCATTTGTATAGCGTATATCCCATCTCAACAGCAGGCTCTATGCGCTTTACACTATATTATTACCCCAGCAGACCATAGAACACTCCGAAACATTCTCAGCTTCCCGGGAAGCATACAGTGCAAGCAGCCGATTAAGCGCTCAAACACTAACAAACTGACGAGAACTTTCGCTGTCTATAGCCGGGTACCCATTCCCACCTGGGTGAAGTGAGGAAATTCGTGTAAAGTGCTTTCCCAAGGACACATAGTCGGGCCATTGACGGGATTCGAACCCACGACCTTACGGTTGAGAGTCCGAGAGCCTAACCACTAGGCCACCGACGCCACATGAAAATGCAGACTTGTTGACAGTAATGCAGTAGGGTTTATATTGTAGGATAATTTACCTTCTTTTTTCACCTAATACGAAACAGTTTTTAGCTCTGGTGTTGTAGCAGTAAGGTTCTTTTAAGAGTTCCAGAAACGAGGGTAAAAAATTAGCCGAAAGATCGTGTTTGCCCACCTTGCTCCTTCAGTTTGGAACACTCTTCCCCAACCCTTGAGACATACAACATCTGAGTCTAAATTTTTTAAATCTTTAAAGACACATTTAATGACATTATATTTATGTCAGTAGATTCATGTTCAGTACAATGATATGTAAATGACTATGTTTCCATTTATGTATTTAGTGAATTGCATTGTGTAGATTATTTTATTATATTGTGCTCATTTCGTGACGATGTGTAAGCGTGCGCGTGTGATGTGTGTGTGTGTGCGTGTGTGTGTGCGTGTGTGTTTGTGTGTGTGTGTGTTTGGCATACATGTGTGTGCACATGTGTGTGTATTATGTGTGCGTGAGTGTGTGTGTGTGTGGTTGTGTGTGTATGTGTGTGTGTTTGTGTGTGTGTATGAGTGTGTATGTGCGTGTGTGTGTAGCGTGCGGGAATATTGTTCGTACATGCATTTATGTAAAACGCCTAGAGCGGTGTTTACACGTGAGTGGGCACTATAGAAATGATCTTCATTATTATTATTTCTTTGCCATCGCATCCAGAAGATGTTAGTTCAATTCCCGTTGTGCACAGTCATCGCATCTCTCAGCATTGGTTGGTCCTGACAGGCTGGGTTGAAGCAGTTTGCATCCTCAATAATCTAAATTATGTCAACGGGGGCCTAAAACTTCTACAATTAATACAATCACATTATTTAGTCTTTGCGAAGTAGATCACATGACCATAGAATGACTTCCCTTTTTGTCCACAGCCAACATGAACCGCAGCCGGACTCCCACTCGCCCCAGTCGGCAGAGCCTGAGTCTGTCTCGTGTGCCGGGCCAGAGCACAGCACAGGTGTTGGAGCCGGGAGTCACTGTGCTTTGTAACAATGAGCTGGGTAAGTGCTAGGATGTAGATCACACACACACATGCGTATACACACACATACACACACACATACACACACACTTCTGTGGCCTTCGTTTTCAACATTTCATGTGTCTGTGTTCAGCTCCATGAATTTATCAGTGCAATTAAGTGGTATGTGGGTCGTGGACGGGTGCTCTGGTGTGGTTTGCTTCTTCTTTCCTATCAAACACCTATCGTCCTTATCTCTCCTCCTTCTTTTTTATGTACTCTCTTGTTACACCTCTAATCTTCTGGCGCTCATGTGATCTTATGCAGTTGCGAGCGCCGTAAAACCTTTACTAGAACAAACAATTAAGTGGTATTGCATCAGACTTCACTTTAAACAAGTCATCAATTCTTTCAACTGCATGACATTTGAAGTGGAACAGGGTTATGTATCATCAGATTTCACCCTAAAAACTCATCAATCCATTCAATTCCATGAAATTTGAAATGCAGTTGAGTTATGCATCATCTGACTTCATAAAAAATAATCCACCCTATTATTCAACTCCATGACAGTCAAAGTGAAATTGAGCGATGTTTCAATCATCAATTATAACATGAACAGTTCATCAATCCATGCAACTCCGTGAAATTTTAACGGATCTGAGCTGTGTGTCATGTGACTTCACCGTGAACAATCCGTCTAACTTTTCAACTGCATGGCAGTCAAAGTGAAATTGAGCGAAGTTTTAATCATTGGTTATAACATAAACGATTCATCGATCCATGCAACTCTGTGAAATTTTAATAGATTTGAGTTGTGTGTCATCTGACTTCACTGTGAACAATCCATCTAACTTTTCAACTGCATGACAGTCAAAGTGAAATTAAGTGATGTCTCATTCCACTATGACATAAATAATCCATCTGTCCATTCAACTCCACGACATTTTAATATACAATTGAATGATGTTTCCTTCGATTTTGACATAAACAGTTTATCCTACAGCTCAGTCCTAGGAAATTTGAAGTGCAATTGAGTGATGTATCATAATCATTCGATTTTGACACATATATATCATCTAACAGTTCAACTTCCTGGAATTGGAAGTGCAATTGAGTGATGTATCATTCGGTTTTGACATAAACAATCCATCTATCCACTCAACTCCATGAAATTTTAAGAAACAATTGAATGATGTTTCATTCGATTTTGACATAGACAGTTTATCCTACAGCTCAGTCCTAGGAAATTTGAAGTGCAATTGAGTGACGTACCATTTGATTTTGACACATACATTTCGTCTAACAGTTCAACTTAATGAAACTGGAATTGCAATTGAGTGATGTATCGTTTGATTTTGACATAAATAGTTGGTCTAGCAGTTCAACTTCATGAAATTTGAAGTGCAATTGAGTGAAGTATCATTGGGTTTTGCCATTCATCCGCTCACCTCCATGAAGTTTTGATTGCACTTGAGTGATGTATCATCCATCAGACATCATCATAAACAGTCACAGTCCATCTAACTGATCGACTTCATGAAATTCAAAGTGAAATTGAGTGATATATCACGTTTCAGGTGTACTGTAAGACACGGTAAGCTATCTCGTGATGGGCTGCATCTCTCTGCATGGACCTTTCATTTTGTTTGAATTGCAACAACTTTTAGTACAATCATACATACATCAATACTTTTTAAAGAACTTTTTAAGAAAGGGTTTTTTTTCGAGGTTTTATCTGGGAATGTTTATTGCTTGTATTTTGTAGTTTTAAAAAGTTGTTACCGTAGCGATACGAATGATTCTTTAATAATTTTTCCCCCCCTGAAACGGAGGAAATTGAATTTCATTTTCTACCTGTTTCTTTCTCTCACTTTTTAATTCCTAGGTGTGTTTTAGTTAAAAGACGAGACATTTTTCCTCTTATTTTTCTCACTTTTGCCTTATTTTGGAATGAGAGTGTCTCGTGTTTAGCCTTCTCCTGCCTCGCCCGTTTCCTGTTGCATGCTGCTGCATTGTGCCGTGTGGCCAGGTACAGAGGGAGGGGAGGCAAACCCAGGGACAATTATTTCCCTTTTTTATGTATGCGTGAGAGTTATCTCCCATGATTAACGTGTAAATCTCCCATGATTAACGCGTAAAACTCCCATGATTAACGCGTAAAAGTTATTCTCCACAATATTCTTCAGCTCCGAGATATTATAAGCGTGAGAACTATCCCCCGTGATAAATGCTTGAGAATTATGGCCTATGATAAATGTGTGAGAGTTACCCCCCATCATGATATGTGAGAGTTATCCCCCCGTGATAAATGTGTGAAAGTTGTTCCCTGTGATAAATGTGTGAAAGTTGTTCCCTGTGATAAATATGTGAGAGTTGTTCCCTGTGATAAATGTGTGAGAGTTGTTCCCTGTGATAAATGTGTGAGAGTTGTTCCCTGTGATAAATGTGTGAGAGTTATATCCCATGATGCATGCTTGAGACTTTTTCTCCATGATAAACTCTCGAGAGTCTGAGAGTTATTCTCCATGGTATTTGCATGAGAGTTATCCTCCATCCATGATAAATGTGTGAGAGTTATCCTCCATCCATGATAAATGTGTAAAAGTTATCCTCCATCCATGATAAATGTGTAAGAGTTATCCTCCATCCATGATAAATGTGTGAGAATTATCCGTGGTGTAACACACTTGAGAGGTACCCCCATTATATGCAGGTTTTATCCTTTTTATTGATATACAAGTGAAAGTTATCCTTCATGATAAATATGTAAGAGTTATCCGCCATGATATATACGTTAGAGATATTGCCTATGACACGTGCATGAGAGTTATCTTCCTTGATAAACACAGTTATATCGCCCATGATATACTCAGAGTGATCGCCCATGATATACACAGAGTTATGGCCCATGATATACTCAGAGTGATCGCCCATGATATACTCAGAGTGATCGTCCATGATATACACAGAGTTATGGCCCATGATATACTCAGAGTGATCGCCCATGATATAAACACAGTTATCGCCCATGATACATGTGTGAGAGTTAACCCCGAAACATATGCGTAAGAGTTGCTATTGCTATGGGAGTAATGAGATACTGTGAGAGAATGGTCAAACTTGACATGCCCGTGCAAGTTAGTAAACTTTGCATATGTGTGAGAGTTATTAAACATGACTGATACGTGGTGGTCAGTGAATGTGACATATATGTGTGACAGTTATTAAACTTGACATATATGTGACAGTTATCAACCATGACATATGTGTGAGAGTTGTCAACCTTGACATATATATGTGATAGTTATCAACCTTGACATATGAGTGAGAGTTATCAACCTTGACATATGAGTGAGAGTTATCAACCGTGACATATGTGTGAGAGTTGTCAACCTTGACATATATATGTGATAGTTATCAACCTTGACATATGAGTGAGAGTTATCAACCTTGACATATGAGTGAGAGTTATCAACCGTGACATATGTGTGAGAGTTGTCAATCTTGACATATGAGTGAGAGTTATCAACCTTGACATATGTGTGAGAGTTATCAACCTTGACATATGAGTGAGAGTTATCAATCTTGACATATGAGTGAGAGTTATCAACCGTGACATATGTGTGAGAGTTATCAATCTTGACATATATTATGTGACAGTTATCAACCTTGACATATGTGTGAGAGTTATTCAGCGTGACACGTGTGGTGATAGTTATCAACCTTGACATATGCGTGAGAGTTACTAAAGATGATATTCATGTCCTAGTCTCAATTATGCATGTAACCCTCTTCAATAATTGTCCCGGACTGTATCTTACTCTTACTAGTATAGCCAGGTCTTTTACAAAGGCCAATAATACAATGTACCAGCGTTGCATGCCAGAATACCTGACTAAACTTTTCTGTGGTTTTTTTTTTTCTTCTTTGAAATGTACGGTAGGTGTTTTGTACATCCCCATTGACACAGTAACTTTTGTGTCGTCGAGACTCGTAGACGTAGTGGGTGAACTTACACGTATGATAACCGTGGTATGTCCAGATTTAACTAGTCGCATATTTTGTCAGAGAGAAGTGAGGCCCCTGATATGAGAGAGAAAAGACTCAAAGATATAGTGGGTGAACTTACACGTATGATAACCGTGGTATGTCCAGATTTAACTAGTCGCAAATTGTGTCGCAGAGAAGTGAGGCCGGTGATATGAGAGAGAAAAGACTCGTAGACGCAGTGAGTGAACTTACACGTATGATGATCGTGGTATGTCCAGATTTAACTAGTGGCATATTGTGTCGCAGAGAAGTGAGGGGAGTGACGTGAGAGGGAAAAGAAACTTCGGGAACTCTTCTGTGGTTGTGGGGACAAGTACGAGATATAGTCGCTGTCCTAAAAAGAATTAGTAACTCCAAACCTTTTAGCTCACTTTTTACACTTACAGTATCATCGGTGACTTAGTCACCAGGCTGTAGTACGCGCTCACTACCGCTGGTGACTTTAATCACCGACTAGACCAGGCACACTGAATATAATTAAGCAACGAACGGACGCACTGCACTAAAGTAAATACCAAAGGAAGTCACTCTGTATGATAGTTGAATAGTTGATGAACCTTTGTGAATTTTTAAAGCATGCTTCTTGAGCTATGAAGGTTTTTTAATTTTTAAAAATTCTGCCATGGCTTCAGTGTTCTAAACGGTACTTGAGGGTTTTTCACTATATGAGCCTTCGGTACTGTAAGTGTTAAAGTTCAAGGCAAAACTATGTGAAGTTAAGCTTTTTTTCTAGACAGCGCTGGTATGTTGTTCTTGTTCTCACATCAAGCAGAGACACGGTCGAAGAAATCAAAGACATTGGAACTATATTGGAATTAAACTCAAAGATATGAGGTTAGGGAAGTATCATAGCAATGTAATGTTGCTGTCCATTTGTTCTTTTATGTTTTACCCCATATCTCAGATTTGTTTCTTTAGGCCATTCACAAAGGGGGGATATTAACATGTTTTTATGCACAGTATTGTAAATGGGCTGCTTTATCAATGTCATGCTCATACTGTGCCGGAACAACATAGGGGGAAACTGATGCTTTTTCTTTCCCTATCCTTACTATCATCATTTTTTCTCTACTTCTTTTGTATGCCTGTCTCTCTCTTATGAACTGCTATTTCCGGGGTGCCTTTATAGTCGAAACAGACTTTTTGCTGTTGAGGCTAGAGAGGTGATCAGAGTAAGCCTGATTCCCCATTTGCACTTCTCTGTTGACATCCACATCTTGGCGCTCATATGACCTTATGCTGTTGCGAGTGCCGTAAAACCTCTACTAAAACAAACATCAAATTTGTTGTTTCTTTGTTGGTCCCCAGGGGTGATCAGGTACATGGGACCCACAGAGTTTGGCGAGGGAACGTGGCTGGGCATCGAACTACGGAAACCTAAAGGCAAGAACGACGGCAGCGTGCAGGGTAAGCGCTACTTCACGTGCCCCGACAACTGCGGCCTGTTGGTG